ACACTCCGCTTCCTCAATGCTTCGTTTCAGAGACTCTGAACAACTGATGCTTCGGGAAGAATGACATGATAGTCAGCGGAGTCTTTGTGCTCCATGACCGCCGCGAGTCCGTTGATCTTGTCGTTAAGAAAACACTCGCTGATCAAACAGTCGGGTATGTGAGACCGTTGAATCGCCGCTTTGTCATCTTGCTGCCAACCAACCAATGTACCACTGTTTCATGCCAGCTGTATGTCATGCTGATTTCATCTGCTAAACTTCGCCAACGTTTCCTAACAGGGGACCTAGAGAGAAGCGTCATTGGATACTGCTGATCTGTCATGAATAAGCGAACAATCGCAATAGGAAAATGGCATCCTTGTTTGGCAGCACATGACAAATTTACACTGCCAGTTGTTTTGGTGAATGTAGAGAATAGATAGAGAATTAGACTTGCAGTTATGGACTGCGGATTAGAGTTCCAGTCAAATGAACTCGCCATTTGTTCCCTTAATGAGGACGGCTGAGTGCCACAGCAGGGTTAACAAGCTAGAGGCTAACCGCTGTAGTGGCAATAAAACTATACATTTCCATTCATCGTAGACCACACAGACAAGCTAAATGGCCTGAATTCACAGGCGCGACAGTGTCAGCTCTTCTACGTAATCGACCAATCTGGTTCTCGGTCCTCTCGTGGGCCACCTTCCCTCTGGCTATGCCAAGACAATGCGCATGACCAGTTTTTTCAGAGGCGTTCTCATCATTTGTCCAAGTCATTGCAGTTGTGACTCGAAAGAGCAGCTCACAACAGAGCAAATATGGATCGGTGAAGTTCTGAACTTTGCTGAGTCACGTCTCGACTGCAATCCTTTGAAGAAACCTCAACTTCCCACTGGCTATGAGTTTTTGATCAAAATCAGCCTGATCAGAAACCGAAATTTCGTTCTATCCAGAAAGATCGTCCACTCTGTTCCGTAGAAAACTGGTGTGCTGTGGAGCAGGAGGCGGTGAGGTGTTCTTTGAGAACCTTACCTTCGGGGCGTTTGCATCGGCTGAACATCTCTGGTATGTGATGTCCGCTGCACTGCATTTGCAACTTTTCAACACCCTTGCTATAAGACGCGATTAATGCATCGTGAAAATGCAGTTCCTCGTTTGAGGCAGATTTTCACCTACCCCTATTTTGTCCATCCACAGTGCATGCTGGCCTCCTAATCGGCATCTGCCATGTTTCCGTTCCCACTCGAGAAGCTCATGGGCTGCATTAAACACTTTATGCTCAACCAGTTTAACCAGTTTAACGGGGTCATCTCCTTTTCGTAATTTTCATATCTAGTCAAGTTACCTGTTCTCGGAAGAATAGAGGATAATTAACTTAGTGGTCATACTTATATGTCAAAGCGACGCTGTTATGCGCAGTTCAACTGTCGTTCTGGCTCTTTCCATTAGAACAACTGTCTTCATGCCGTACAACAATACAACAACACCGACCTGCCTGAGTCAAGTTAGAGGCGGATTTATGGGGAAAAGTTTATTCCTTTCCCAGGCCAAACTTTTG